AATCGTTCTCTCATCATCCATGCCGCCCTGTGGTGACGGCGGTGTGAGAAAAGGTGCAGGCGCCCCACGCTCACAGGGGACGCCGCCGATGCTGCCGTTTCCCGTCCAGCTTTCAAATTCTTCCGCCGTGGAACCTGACGGATCGTATCACAGCGTCCTTGATTTGCTGGAGACAATTGTGTTCGAGCCACACTTGTTTCCACATTCCGCAAACTTTTATTTTGCGGATCTCCGTTTCCTTTGAGACGACGACTGGGGTCATGCCTGACCTGGGAGCCTGGCTGCGAGCGAAGACGAGAGATAACCGGCTTCACCGGCCTTGAAATCGCGGTGATGATAGAATTGTTTGCGCCGTGGTGGATCAACGACAAGAGTTAATTTGATTGATATGGAGTGCTTATGGAAGAAAGAAGCGTGTTGGTGTGCGTTTCTCTACAAGCTCGCTCGATTATTGACGTTGGAGAACGCATCAACGTACCAGCTCGAAAAAGATCAGCGGTTTACAACGCTCCGACCTGATTATCAAAATGCGAGAGGTGAATCTTTTGAGAGGCCAAGACGAGGTTGCACTTAATTGCTCGCGCGACTCAATCCAACTCTTCCTGGTCTCACGCATGGGTGCAAACTTGGGGCTGTGGAACATTGACGTGGTCGCCTTCGTTTGATGGTTAATGGTGTCCCGGTACAAAAGGGTGTCGACTACCGCCGCAATCGATGATTTTGGCTTTCTGGAGACATGCCGGAAGCGGGCATTTAGCGAGGTGAGGCTGAGTATGTAAAAATGCCGAGGACTGAGCACGGTAACAAGACGGTTGCCATTGACCGAACGGGGCGAGGTGGTTCGCGTATCTCATCCTCGGCGGGGGGTAGCGGCCGATCCCACAAGCAGATGTTTCAACTGGCCGTGCGGTTGCAGAATGAAAGTCGTTGGTTTCTTTTCGGTCTTCCTGCCTGTTCTTTCAGCCGTTGTCGCCATTGCTTCGGGCGGGACTGTTTTGAGGGGCTGCGGACCTCAATTGACCGGCTCTCTGGATTGGACAGACCGGTGGTTGACACGCATTGATTTAATTGAAGTCGTGCAGCAACGCGTCTCCGCCCCGCCTCATTGGCTACATTGCTACCGAGACATCCCAGCGAGCATTCGCGGTGACACTGGCGCTTCCCAAGTTGTCGAAAGAGCTCGCCTTATCGAACGACGCGGACAGATCGATGCCAATTGACAACATGGTGGCCCGGGCAGTCGGCCACTTTCTTTCCAGTCGGTTGTACAAGGAAAGAGGATATGGGAGGAGCCCACGAATTAGGAGCTGTGGCCTTTCAAGGCTTGATGGGCTTGCAGGAAAAAGTGGACGCTGAACGCAACCCATTAAACGCGAACGCGCCAAGCATGGATGAGACGCGTCGCCAGACAAATCTTGGAACCCGCGGAAGTATTGGACAGCCTCAATAGAAGGAAGATAAGGAGGAAACTCTGTCGTCAAGCGTTACAACAGCGCCGCGGCCGAACAGGAAAGAAACAACCACAATCTCCTACGGATACAACAACGGTCGTGCGCTCCTCATGGCAGACTTTCCCCATTTGATTCAGACCTAGAAACTTCTCGAGATATTCAAGAGCTATTCTTTTTTATATTTAATAGGCCCAAGTGTGTGACATATGTGCTTGTTAATTACTCGTAATTATTGTGTATGCTTCTCTCCATAATTACTCTGTAATCTGTATGTGGAACGCCACTCATGCGGCCTCCAGGAAGTTCCAATCTCACGTTCTCACGAGCAGAGCGCCTTTGACTCCGCCCGGCTGGGCCCGAGGAGGTGTGTCGTTGAGAAATCCTGACGTAAAGCCCCGGAAACAAAAGCCAAGACAATCAATGCATTGGTACCGCAGTCTTTTCGGATTGCGACACGGCCGTGGGAGGTTTCAATTCGCGGGCAAAGGGGGCTACATTTCGCAGCAGATGACATGCAGCTGGCCTTTTCCTCCACTTTTTGTGGTCTCGCGAGATGCAGTCCATGTTTCTGGGCGCAATCCAACCAACGAGTACCTGTCCCTGTTTACCAGGGTTGCCGGTTCGGCCGTCTCGGTTGATTGAACAGAAGCAGGCTGGTTGGGAATGGAATTCGAACACAAAGACCTGAAAACGAGGCCATGACGGCACCGCACCAATGCAACAAACAAACAAGTTTAACATTCTGTGTCGATTGGATTACCCATACCTTTGCGACCATTGGACTTTATTGACGCTGAGGTTAGTAGTGTTATCATTTTCTGGGTAGTAGGAATAAAGGCCAGTTATCGTGATGGCCAACCCTTGTACCAGGCGTTGTTTGTCTAACAGAGCGGGCGTACGGAGGACGGGGACAGTTCTTTCAGTCCCTTTTGGGTTTGCTGTGTTTGTCGGGTCGGATACCCAGCGCTGATTGTGCACAAGGGCCTCGTTGTGCAGCACAATCAGCTACCTGCGCGGCATCATGCTTTTGCCGGATAGGAATCAAAGTCGATGCCTCAACGAGGCAATTATGGGGCAAAGTATTCGGCTACCCTCGAACGTGATGGTTGATGGCTGATGAATCGGGAGATTTGATCCGCAATGGATCGTGCCATTCTCAAATCCCACTGCGCGATGTTCATTCCTCAACACCAACATCAGCCCGCGACGCGCGCAATCGCGCATCAGAAAACAACCAACACGTTGTAACGCTCTGGCCTGGAGCACACTCTGGTACCTTCGTACCGTGTTTCTGAATGATTGTTCCCTGCGGACCGCCTCCTGGTGCATCCCAGGGCTCACCGTCCGCTGCTCTGAGTGGTTAGCCACGGGCGAGGGAGTTGCCCGAGAGCCTGCAAGCTGTTCCAAAGAAGCCGGAGATCCCTGCCGTCCTTCTTCTGGCCTGAATTTCCCAGCCGAACCATGAGTCCACTCAATTCCACCGCCGCCCACCACCAACTCCAGCCCGCCAGGAGGGAGCTTCCTGGCCGTGCCTGGACGAACGCGACCTCCGCTCCCCACTCGATCTCACCACTTGGTGGTGAAGTGCAGCCAAGGAACTCCGTCCTGCAAAAGCCATCAAAGTGACGTGCGATGCAATGCCCGCATTTGCCTCGCGAGGCGGCCATGCACGCAGGCGGCCGACTCTTTTCGCGTCGCGTTTCGAGAAACCACCACTCTACTTTTCTTTTTCAAGTTTCAAACGCAGGAGGAAAGCCGGTAATTGCCTAGTGAATTCGTACCACTTTGTCCTGCGACTCTTCAGCCCATATTATCTTAACATCGTACAAAGCCTTAATGACTGACAGAGCGCCACGATTGGGCGGTCGCTCCTTGCTGTTCGTCCTGACTTTGGGGCGGGTCGTCCCTGCTTGTTGCGCAACGGAGGTGGGGGAGCAGGAGAGGATTACGGAGCCAGGGCCTTGCGTGAAGGTGGACTCTTGGCGCTGCCGGACGACTGAGCTGCCTGGATGGCCTGGCTTACCCCCTGCAAGCCCGTGGTCCTTCCTGCACCAGGCCAGGGCAGGTACCTCCCAACTTCCCGCCAGTACGCGGTCAGTGCTGCAAGCTGCTTGGTGCTCAGCGCTCCTCCCTCCGGTGGTGAGCCGGGGCCCCTGTCTTAAACCGTCCATGAACCAATCTCTGCGCTCCTTTCCACTCCCTTTTCCCCTTCTCTCCTCCATCCTCCTCCCCCGAACAAATATCCATCTCTTCCTCTCCTTCCCATCCCTTTCTCCTCCTTCCGCAACCAGTCGTTCCCTCTCCCTCGCCATTCCTTCCAACATCCCCCCGTGGACTCCTTTTCTCGAACTGAGAAACGGAGGGAAGGAGGAGATTTAGAATCTGGGCCCTCGACAAGCCAGTTCCCCCAGCCTCGTATAAGGACACGACCGGACTGGTGCGTGCAGAGAGTTGCAAAAAAAAGAAGAAGCTGGATTTAGGAATCAACTGTTCCTATATCTCGGTTTCTCTCCCACGCTCTCAGGTACCACCCTGCGTACTGGTATCAACCCCCCTCCGCCTTTGACATTCCTCGGCTCGACGGCGAAGAATCCTCCAAAGCTATCTCGGCAACCCCCCTTGGTTCCGAGTCCGCCTACCGCGCCGTCTCAAACCCATCCCCCCTCGCACCGATTCACGAGCCGACAACGACTCGAGGTCATCTACATGATACCAATCGGTGCGTAAATTTGGTTCTGGCCCTGCCGAGGCTTTGGGTGCGAGGTACGTAAAGAAGGCCGAGTTTTAAATTTTTTTCAATTCCTCCACACAAACCCCCCAACAGCACGCTCTCGTCGATCGCTTCGTTACCGCTCCTAGTACAGTCAGTTCAGGTACGAGCTAGCGAATGGGCAGAATGAGATACTGAACAATGTCCCCGGCTTCTGCTTAGATTTGTGCCGATTTGGGTTCCTCCTCTCAGCATCATCCACCCTTGAGCCGAACCAGCTCGATCGATTGACTGCTTGCAGTGGGACACGTTAGCTCGTTGCTCCCACACAGCGTCAGGAGTTGTGTCATTTTTGCATCGTTGTTTAGCGATTCGCAACCGTGGCAGTAAGGGAAACCTGCAGTTCCTAGCAATTGTTCTTTTTGTGCATTGAGCCTCGTTGGGATTCTTCCTGGATGGGTCCTGCTAGGCGGGGATTGTGGATTCCCGCCGAGATTCTTTCACCACCCAGGCAATGGGGGGCAATAAAACTGAATGAACCATGCTGACACTTTGGTAGCAAACTTTGGTCGATAACAATTGTTACCGTTCCGCCCCGCGATATTTTTTCCTCAAACTCTTCCACTCCAAGTCGGCGAATTTTCAGCCACAGCCACTCATTTCGGTACTTCTACTTTTCACCACACTCTTTAATATCGTAATACTAGTCATCATACTCGGTCGGCGCCTCACTCTTTGACTCGACCAACACCCATTTTAATATTGCCCTTGACTTCCCGGAGAACTCGAAAAAAAAAATCAACCCTCATTTGAATCGGCAATCGTTTCAAACTTCAAAGATGGCGTGCTCAGGTTACCAACCAGACAACACCTTCTTTGTGGAATCGGACGAGATCAGCCAACGCATGACCATGCGTGATGCTGCCCGGATGCTTGCCCGGAACAAGCAAGAGATGATCGCCAATGAGCTCTCAAGGCTGGCCTGTGATGAGTATCTGGAGGACATCATGCAGCACATGCGTCAGATGGAGGTACGACAGTACAACCGGCAGATCTGAAATGGGGGGGGTCCATTTCTTGGCTAACTTGGCTGCTTCACTAGGACGAGACATTACCCGATGCCAACCTGATCGACATGCAGCGCGAGATCCAGTGGTATATGCGCCCGTATCTCATCGACTTCCTGGTCGAGGCTCACTCCGCCTTCTCTCTCCTCCCCGAGACCCTGTTCCTTGCGGTCAACCTTCTCGACCGATACTGCTCGAAGCGGGTTGTCTACAAACAGCACTACCAGTTGGTCGGCAGTGCCGCCCTTCTCATCGCTGCCAAGTACGGGGACAAGAAGGACCGGGTGCCTCAGATCAACGAGTTGAACAACATGTGCTGTGGTCTCTACGACGCAGGGATGTTTACGCAGATGGAGATGCACGTCCTCAACACCTTGGAGTGGAACATTGGGCATCCGACCGTTGACTTTTTCACGAAGTTGGTCGTGGCCGAGGAGCATGACAGCAGGGAGGTAGAGCACATGGCGGCGTACATCTGCGAGATTGCTCTCTATCACCGGGACTTCGTGTCAACAAAGCCCTCCGTCATGGCACGGGCTTCGCTTGCTCTCGGCCGGGCCATTCTTGGCAAGCCTGAGGTCAATGATGGCGAATGGGATCATTCTGACAACGTGACACTACTTACCCTGTCACAGCATCTACATCAGCCGTCGGTCATCCTTGCGAGAAAGTACTCGAGCCAGTATTACTCCCGGGTCTCGGACAAACTCGCCGACTTCCTCGCCCAGCAGGCCGCCATCGCGCGCAGAGCCGTACCGCCGTCACCACCAGCGGAGTCGACGCTTTCCAACAAGGCCCAAGACATTTACAGCACCCCCCACAAAGGACTAGGAGCTGTTCCAGGTGTGGCTGACGGTTACATGACGCCGCCCATCACGCCTGATGGCACGTGTTTCGGGCAGAACAATGCCGCGATGAAGGATTACCAGATGCCTCCTCGCTGCCCCGTCACTCCGACCCCTCAGCCGAGCCACGGGACATTGTATCCGCAAACGCACGTCCCACAACAGCAGCAGCCACATACAATGGCGGGGCCGACCTACTTTGGCGCTCCGTCTCATATGTCGTACTGAGGCGTTGACAGCTCACCAAGGTTCTACGGCCGTGGAAATTGTTGTGGCCGGCACGGTCTGCATCCAACTTCGCTCGCTTTCGAAATAGGAGGCGGCCGTTGTTTCTTTCCACTTTCTTCAGGGAATCTTTGAAATATACCACCTCGGAAGACAAAAGATTGCATTCATCTATCTGGCTCTTCTCCGCACGGGATCATTTAGCGTCATGGCATTAGCGTTGATTTTTTTTCTTGATTTTTCTCTCCATCACTTTTTTTTCACCCCCCTTTTTCCTTTCCCCACTTCACTTCTTTGGGGAAGTTGAACGCCGCGGCATCATGGCTGCCGTTGGCTTTGTGGTCGGGAGCACTGATACCCCTCCGCCCTTGCCCCTGCTTTGCAACAGCCATGTTAATCTTTTCACCATAAAACGAAACCCGACAAAAAAATTTCAAGAGGCAGGAGATGGTTCTCGTTGGGTGAGGCGATGGGGTATTGACCCCCCGCCTCAATGATACGAGGCACGGGTAGCCCCCTTTTCCTAACTACCAGAATTGAAGAGGACGGGGTAAAATTTGGCGACATTCGTGGCAACTTTTAGGGCGGCAATACAAGATTGGCAAAGAGGCGAGCGCCCGGATAAGCTTTCGGTTGAGTGGGACAGCGGCATAGAATGAGAAGAGACCGGGTAATTCCCCTTGATCTCTTGGTCACCTAGCTGCGTGTGCCATTGAGTTTCGGCAGAGTGATACGGTCCTAGCAGGGAGGCATTGCTCGTGGGACGAGTGTCAAGTAACTTTGACTGCTCGTACACTGCGTAGGGCACTCGGGGAAAGGGACTTGCTTGGACTTTGATACGTCGTTAGGTCCTCACGAGCTTTGGGCGTGTCCCAAGCAGAGAATTTCCGAGAAATCAAATGAAAACAAGTCTTTTGACATTTTGCGGTATTCGTGATTTACATGATGTCCTATATCCCTTCCTCCGTTTGTAATTTCATACACAGAAAATGGCACCCCGTCAGTTCAGTTGGCGAGGGACGATGGACCGTGGCGGCCTCCCCGCCCAGCCTTTCTCTTAGTTTGCGGCTTAACCACGTTCGCTTGGAACTCAGTGGTGTCTCTTTGAATTCGACGCCTCTTCCCACGCAAATCCACAACCTGGATCCCGTCAGGCTTCATGCTACGACTAGGGGTGTCAAAGCCGAGACCGCCCTGTGGCGCTCGCATGATGATGTTGCCGTCTACGGTGTCCTCGTCACGGAGCACACCGCTTTCGGCGCTCCCATCATCCAGCTCGTGCTCAAACACGACTCGGTCTGGGGTCTTGAGGCATTCGCTCCGCCAGTTTTCTAGCTTGATTGTTGTTGCTACTGGTAATCTTTTGAATGGTCTCCCGGTACCACCCCCATTAGTGTTGTTCCTGCCGTTGATCTTGTTATTGATGATATTGTTGTGGTCGCCAAGAATCTCCCCATACCGCCCATGACCCGGCAACCGACCCGCGCCGAGTACATCCCGGCGCTCTTCGCCCATCCAGAGCTTGAAACTGCCGGCTGCGCCGGAGATGTAGCAGATGTGGAAGGGGAGGAGACCGCTGAGACGGTCGGGAGCGATGTCGGGGGTTTCGTTGGGTTGTTTGGAGTCGCCGGGAAAGACTAGGACGGGGATTGTGCAGATTAGGGTGGTGGGTTCTGCTTCTTTTACTTTTTCCGGGGAGGAGGAGGAGGAAGATACTGATGTTAGTCGTGGAGGAGGTGTTGGTTGGGGTTTCTGCTGTTGTTGGTGTGGGAGGGGTGTCCGTCCCGAACCGTGACCGTTGCTGCTGCTGTTGTTATCGTTGTTGCCACCGTTCCCGATCTCCCCCCTCTCCACCTCACCACCCCCAAAAACCCTCACATCCATCTCATACACCCTCGACACCAGCGACGAATCAGCCGTGTTCACCCTCCTCACAGACTGGGCCGCATACCGCGCCGGGTCGATCCCCAACAGCGGCAGGTCGCCGGCCCAGAGCGTCGGGAGGGTCGCGCCGCTGTCGAGGAGCATGTTGAATTGGATTTGGGGGCCGTCGGGGTCCGGGATGGTGCAGCCTGGTTTGCTGGTGTCGGGTTGGGGGATCGTGGGGATGTGCGTGCTCAGGGGTGGTGCTGGTGGGAGGGAAGGGGGGTTGGAGGAGGTGGATGGTGCTGTTGTTGGGTCGGTGATGACGCGGAGGTTGTGGTGGTTGTTGTCTTGCGGGGTGGTGGTGGTGGTGGTGGTGGTGGGTGAGGAGGTATGATTATGGTTGTGGCCGTTGCCGTTGCCGTGGAGGATGGCTTGCTTGAGGATGGCCGTGGGCCGGGCGACGTTGAGTTTGCGCCGACGGAACCCCATCCGAATGTTGTAGTGGCCCATGTTTTCGGTGCCCTGGCGCCGGCTCGGCGTGCTCTCGAGGCAGAAGCCCTTGCGGGCGATGACGGTTGGTCCTCCCCTCATGGCTCGGCTGCCGTTTCCGCTATTGCTACCGCCACCGTTTGCAGCGGAAGACAGTGGCGGTTCGTACCACAACCAGCCAGGTCCGTACTCGGCGGCGTAGCGGTCTAGGAGGGTGCTGCGGTCGTGGGTGAAGGCGTGGAAATCTAGGCAACGATCGACGATGCGGCCTGCCCAGAGGAGGGTGTAGGAATCAGAGTAGGGGATGGTGCCGGACTCGTATCCGGCGATGGCTGCTTTGATGTTTTCGCGCTCCGGGGGGAATTGGGCATCTTGGAGGATGGAACGGAGTACATCCAGGCGGTCTTGGATGGCCGCGTTATGGATGGACTTGAGAGTTGACCTGGGCTTCTGTGTTAGCGGTCGACTAGAAAAATACTGTTTATCCTCAGGTGAAGTAGCCAAGAGGAAAAACAG